AGGGAGAATTATTATAAATGTATGTACTGATAGGACATGAAGTAATGATTTTAAACTAAAGGAGCATAGATTTAGATTAGATGTAAGGAAGAAATTCTTCACAATAACGTGGCAAGGCACTGGAACAGGTTGCCCAGTGAAGTTGTGGATGCCCCATCCCTGGAAGTGTTTGTCAGATTGGAGGGGACTTTGGGCAACCTGATATGGAGAAAGATGTCATTGTTTTTGGCTGGGGGATTGGACTAGATGGTCTTTAAAGGTTCCTTCCAACCCAAGCTATTTTGTGTTTCCATGATTGCATAAACTCTGGGAGTGATACAGGAATGGAGATGTGAAGATACAGATGAAGACTGATACAGATGGAGACTGTGATGATAGGAATGGAAACTGAGTGGGCTAGAAGAAAAGTGAGAATAAAAACAGATACCCCAAGTAGAAAGAATGAAAACACAATTGGAAAGCAGGAGAAATCAGGGTCGGAGCTGGGACAGAGAGGGAGGAGGGCAGGAACATTAGAGGACATGTTGGGGCTGGAAGGGGGAGCCTTGCAATAGGAGAGGTCAGGGAGGAAACATCTGTAGCATTTAGGTTTCTTTACAGATTTGGCAGTGAACCAAAGTACAGATGTTTGTGAAAATAGGAGAGTATACTGTAATTACTTTAAAGATCTGAGACCTGGAACTGACCCATCTGTGAAGTCAGGATGATTTCATCATTTGTAGGTGCTTTTTGTTGTTGTTGTTTAGTTGTTGTTGTTTTGATTTGTTTTACTTTTCATTTTTAAACTTGAAAATAATGTATCAAATATATCCTAAAGAGGCTTGGGTTGGTATAATCAAGTTTTCAAAATTATAAAGGGTTGGTGCTGAGCTTTGTATAATCTTAGTAGGACTTCCTTTGGAAGATGTATTATTTTATAGAATTTACTTGGTTGTCATTCTTTCCTATTAACAAGCTTAATACTAGAAATTGTTTAATTTAACAAATCTAGTTGTCTTCCCATATACTTCATTATTCAACTGGATCTGCTTTTGAAGAGTACTGCTGTACATCTCAAGCTTTGTCTACAGGATAGATGACGGTAGAAGTTAACAGTCTATTTCTGTTAGATAAAAACAGATTAGAATTGCTATCCTAGTACATATGGAATGCTTGTTGGTACTACTATTAAGTGAATCTCCCTGTACATGCATATCTGATAAAAGAAAACAAAAACCTTCCAAATATAACTGTTAGATTGGGCTGTACTTGATGTGTCTTGTAGTTCTCCCCATTCAAAGAACAGTTGGTCATCACTCTTTCTTCAGGTACAGAGACTATTTGGAGAAGTGTACTTTTCTTAGATCGTATCACTTACATCAAGGTCCAGTTTGTGACGAGTTTACCAGTGAAATCTTTCAGTTTACTCTCAATGTGTGCAGGTTTCTAAATATATCATTACCCACTATTTGCAAAAGCAAACTTCTCCAATAGAAGAATCTTAAAACCATTCTTAGAAACCAGAGTTTAAGTCCCTTGTTGAATATTCTCTATTCTACTTTACTCTAAAATAATCTTTTTGATAATCCTTGTGTCGTTCTGCATTAGCAAACTTCAGGTATTACTGACTGGTCATCCTAATGGCAAAGAGACATTCTGAAGTTGAAACCTCGTTTCACATGATTCTTACATGCTTGTTTATTTTGTTGTTGTCATTTGTTTTATTTTTTTTCTTTTTTTCATTAGCTTAATCCATAGCTACGCTTTCATTCCCAACCTTACTCTTTTATGAGACAAAACTCCACTCTTTCACTTTATCAATTTTATTAAAATTTCTTGATTGGGAAAAATCCTGTACACCCACATGCCTCTCTTTTATTTTTTTTTCCTTCCGTTGGAGTAGTATTAAAGCATGGGTGGTTTTGTTTTCTTCTGTTTTTCGTAGAGACCATCTAGGTAAAATAAGGAATGCATTTTGACATTGTGTTTCATGACTATATGCATGCACCCACACTTGTGCTGCAATATTAGCCAAGAAATCAGAGATACTATCTGGCCAAGTAAAAGCAAATATGACAAGGAAACTCTGAATGCTGTGCTACAGTGGAGGAGTTGCTAGTGAGCTCAACATTGTAGTAAGGTCAAAAGAAAACCTACTTGGTTAACAACAGTTTCTCCTTTACCAGCTCTGGAAAAGTGTTAGATGTTTTCTGTCATTAAAGGAAGTGTTGCTTTTCATACCATGGATGCAATTATGTTGACAAAAAGCATACAAAATTGTTATATATGGTACTCATACACTGTACCCTAATTGTATGTATCTCAAAAATCATTGCCAGTGGAATTAATATTATGTTCTTCATAACTGTACCAGATCATGCCCATATAAGCAACTTAAAATTTCCAAAGTACAAACCCTTTTTTTTCCCCAGAAATTACTGTTCATGGTAGTGTTAATAAGCATGCTCTGGAAGCACCCAGATGACTAACTATACTTAAAAAAAATTATCAGAAATGCAGAGAAACATGTGTAACTTCTGTTAACGCAAGTTTCCAGTGTGTAAGCTCTATACAGAACAGATCATTAAACATTAGTCTAATTTAAGGTCTGAAGCAGTCTACAGGAAGGCACAGCCATTTATTTTCTGTAAGGGCACAAGATACAGATTCGTTGTTTTAAGTCAATAAATGCGACTTGTAGATACACCCCATTTGTGCACTGCATTGCACATCAGATGGCTGGATGACATGTATCTCTGTGAAGACACGCTCGTTTTGGAACAAAATTGTCTTCCCAGGATTGTAAACGATGTCCTTAGCAGAACAGATTCACTGTCATGTCTGCAGCCAATCATGTACAAAGTATGGAGAACATAAGCATGCTGGAACTATTTTTGTGTGGTAAATGAAAATACGAACATATAGTCAGGGAGCAATGATGAAATGCTTAAAGTACCAGCCTCAAGCAAAATTGACAGCAGTCAATATCACATATATAATGGGCATTTAGCAGTTCTGTCTGAGAACAAATGTCATGCTACTATTGAAGAAGAAAATTGTTTTAAAAAGAGCGGTTTTCATGAGCTCAGTGGGCAGAACTTCCAGTCTCTGCTCACGCAGCCTGTGTGGGAACAATCTCATTCATGCACTGGACTATTTATTCATACATAGAAGTCTGCAGAGTGACTGAAGGACATCATAAGGACACCTGTTTGTTCTGTTCAAGTTAATTCCAGTGAAAATTGCTTCCTCTTTGTGCCTTAGAAACATTCCCAGATCTGAAATCCTCAGGGAAAATATTTGACTAATCTCCTTGTTTTTGTTAAACACTCTCAACCCTACCTAAAGATTAGGTACTAAGTAGGGTAGAGTTGTGTTGCAATGCTATTTGACAAATGGGAGTTAACAGCAATACGTGGTTAGAGTAAAGGCTTATCTGGCATTCACATAGTTTGTCAAGTGGCTTCTGTGTGAGAAGCACCATCTTGCCTTTAAGAGTTGTCAAATCATTTATTTTCTGAGAGTTTGTTCAGTCTCCTGAGTAAAAGTTACCTTCTAGCATCCATAGCATCTTACGATAAGGAACTTTGCAGACCACTTGATATTCTGTGTGAAGAATGACTTTTGTCTTCACTCTATATCCACTGGCTCTATTAGATGCCTCCTCATTCATCTATCAGAAAATACAGTGAATAATGGATTCCTACTCTCATTCTCCATCAGGATACAGGCCTCTGTTATTTCTCCCTTTGCCTTACACCATCTCTTTTCCATGCTCTAGCATCCTAGCTTCCTTAATTAATTTCTTCCTCATGCTGCCACTGCCAGTTGTCAAAGATAAGACTTATTACCCTTCTCTGACCCTTTATGTGTTCTGTTTTATTCTTTGTGAGATGAGTTATGAGAAATGTATTCAGCATTCATTATGCAGGCAGCAGTGTAGAATTGTAAAGTGAGGTGTTGATTTCTGTATTTTCTCTGTTCCTTTCATAGTAATTCACCAAATGTTGGTTTTAACCCTTATTTAAAACTGAACTGAAGTTTTCATGGATTGTCAAGTATAATCCCAAAACCTCATTCCTGAATGAGAAGTCAGTTAGGAGTTCATTATTTTATGTATGTGGTTAGAATCATTTTTTCCAATGGTGGTGTATTACTTTGCATATGTCTCCTTTAAAGTTCATAGGGCATTTAATGCTCAGTTTCATAATGTTTTCTACTATTATTCACATCAGCCTCTTTTTTTTTACAGTCCAGTAAATTAGTATTCCATCAGCAAACTTTTACCCCTCTTGGAGATTGCCTGTTAAGTAGATAAACTGAATTCCACTTCTAAGTGGAATATTACTTATCTGTCACCTACAATCTTACAGATATATTAACAAAAATACATTTCATTCCTGTTTTTTGAGTCTTCATACCTGTGGTTGTGAATGACTGTGGAATTTAATAAACTGCTGTGGTCTGATGTTTCTTCCCATCTTTGGGTATGGGGTAAAGCAGTGTAGCAGATACCCATCATACCCTAAAAGGGATTCAGCCTTGATATCACTGAGGTCTAATACCACTTCTCCCTATTATGTATAACACTTACTGGTGAAGATAGGAGACAACATGGTATCTCTCTAATGTCCTCTAAGAGATTTCAGTGTTAGAGGTATGGAATATATACTTTTGTATACTGAAAACAAAATTGGCGTTGATGTAACATTTTTTAAAATGAAGGTATACTGTAAGGTCATTGTCATTTGATTTTGCGTTATCAACATACTCAGCAAAGCCATGGACTGAGTTTTCTACTTCTGTGTTTTGTTGTTGTTATCATATTGAATTTCCCTAATGATGCTTCAAATATAGGCAACAGTAGTTACATAGGTAACTGTACTAACATTTACTAAATTCCTAAAAATACTTCTTATTTCATTATCAGTTATAAATTTCAGAACAGAACCAGCATGCATTTTAAGTTTGTTTTGAATAATTTTGGAGTTGCCAAAACTTTTTATTTTCTCTGTTTTTAGGTATAGACAAATGCAGCTTGGCACAGAAAGCAAAGTAGCTGAACTTCTTCACCAAAGTAAGTTAAAGTCCTTTGAAAGTGAACATGTTCAACTCATGCAACAAGAAACAGCTAAGAATCTTTCACAATGCCAAATAGAATGTGAGAAATATCAGAGAAAGCTGGAGGTATGTTATCAAAAGACATTTTACAGAGCATTATATAGTCATTTTCAATTAGAATTTAAAATGAAAAAGTTTAGGGAGAAAGCACTGAAGAGTATATACATGGTTGTATTAGCATTTCCACCAAATTTGGCTGGGGCAGAACCTAATGACAAAGTTTACTATGTTTGACCATTTCAGTAGAAAATCAAAGGAAATGGAAGAGGCAAAACTATCTCATGGAGGGATGTTGAAGACTTGTGTTTTAGATTACCAGTGTCCATCATGGAAATTCTCTCTTTGTGTCAAATGTCGGAATTTAGATACCTTTCTTGTAAAGAATAGGTCTTTATTATGCACCCTTACAAATAAAGTCTTTTTTTCCTCTAATCTAGTTCTTCTAAGACTGCATACCAGTTGTAGGGGAATTTCACGACAGGAATCAAAACAGAGAATTTATATGAAATTCTTTTTTTTTTTTTTTTTTTTTTAATACATGCATATAGTCCGTAAAATTTATACTGCAGTTTCAAAACCAGCAATAAGCAAAACAAAAATTTGGTGAAATTCTCTTAAAAGTATACTGGTAGAAGTATATAGACTTTTTAAAGTTCTCGTACATCATTTAATTACACTAAAATATGTCAGAAAGGTTTCATAGAATTTTGCGTATCTGTACTTGTTTTATAGGTTTATTACTAGAAAAAAATTAGTTCAGACCCTTTTATAGGACACAGCATCCAGTATTATCCAGCTTATCATAGTTGTATGTTGACATTTGATCTCTGACATCCTTCAGAATCTATTTGTGCAAGATGAAAAATAAGTTGGTTTTATTTTCCTATACACGCAAGGGTAGTAGCTCGCTAGCTGTTTCCAACAGCTGCATGTTCATTGACAGCTGGCAATTAAAACCCCTTTTTTAACTCAGTGTTTCCAAAATAAGTGCAATTGTACATTTAGTCAATACTGCTTTATGATTAAAATGTCTACATTCACACTCACAAAGGACCACAGAAGAGCACTTGGAAGTAGACAACCCCAAGCAGTACTCTGCCCTTGCTGCTCCCAGCTCTTCACAGGAGCCATGAGCTCATCAAAGGACCAAGTCCTCCCACAAAGAAGATCTGAGGATCAAGGACACTGGGGGAGCCCCAGTGACACAGTCTGAGACACAAGCCTCTGCCTATGGACCATCCCAGAGCTGTCCAGGAGAGCCTCAGCCCCATGGACCAGGGGGCACCTACCAGTGGGTCAGGGTCAATGGGAGAGGGTCACCTCACAGACTGAGGTGTCACTGCATTGGGGTATGGGCTACATGATGTGTTGCAGAAAAAGAGCATCTGGTGTTTTCAAGAGGCTTATGTTAAGGGAAGAAACCTGTGACAAGGGAAAGAATGGATCTAGGTGATACAAGGAGGAACAAGCATAGGAGCATAGAAGGATAAGGGGATTAAAAGCCATGTCTGTGCTACTGCATGGCTATGTGTGTGTCTTGATGTGTGCATGGAACTCTGTTGTCATGAGGCTGCAGCCTTAGGATCTTCTCTGTCCATATTGCTTAGGTGTATATATATTTAAATATATATAAGATTTTATATTTCTTACCCTTCTAAAAGCTTTTTGATTCTATCACAGTATCCTTCTAGAGGAAATGTTCAGCACACAGCTAGACATGCACACAATACAGTGAGTGAACAATTGGCTGAAGAGTTGGGCTCAAAGGGTTACAGTAAACGGGGTAACATCAGGCTGGTGGCCAGTCACTAGTGGGGTTCTCCAGAGCTCAGTTTTAGGGCCAGTTCTCTTCAAAGCTCTTATCAATGACCTGGACACAGGAATTGAGTTCACACTAAGTAAGTTTGCAGCTGCTACTAAATTAGGAGTCATTGTTGATCCCCTTAAGGGTAGAGCGGCCTTACAGAGATATCTTGTGGATCCTGGTCCAATGAAAGGCGTTTTGGTCTAGTGGGTGGCATCCCTGCCTATGGCAGGGGAGAGGGGGTTGGAATTAGATGAGTTTTAAAGTCTCTTCTAACCCAAACCTATCTATGATTCTATAGTTTTGATAGATTAGAGGGCTGGGCAATCACCAACCATATGAAACTTAACAAGAGCAAACACTGGGATTCAGCGCTGGGATGGTGTAATTCTGGATGTACGTAGAGAGTGGGGGACAAGTGGATGGAGAGCAGCCCCGTGGAAAGGGGTCTGGGGGTGGAGGTTTTAGTTGACGGTAAGCTCAGTATGAGTCAAGGGTGTGCCCTGGTGGTCAAAAGAGCTAACTGTATCCTGGGGTAGAAAACTAGTGAAAATAAGTGACTGTCTTTCCATAGTCAGCCCTGGTGCAGCCTCACCTCAATTACTGAGTGCAGTTTGGATATTAAATATATCAGATATTAAAATATTAGAATGTGTCCAAAGGAAAGCAACAAAGATGGTGAAAGTAGAGGACATGACTTAGGAGGAGCAACTGAGGTCACTTGGTTTGTTCAGCCTAGAGAAGAGATAGAGGAGAGGTGACCTCATAGCTGTCTACAATTTCCTCATGACTGGAAGCAAAGAGGGAGGTGCTGATTTCTTCTCTCCGATGCCTGGTGATAGGACCAGAAGAAATGTGGCATCAGGCGAAAGAAGGTCAAAAGGGTGGTCAAGCACTGGAACAGGCTCCCCAGGGAAGGGGTCATGCCCCAAAGCCTGTCAAAGTTCAAGAAGCCTTTGGACAATGCTCTTAGATACAGGGTATAAGTTGGCCTGTACAGAGTGAGGAGTTGGACTCCATCCTCATGGCACCTTTCCAATTCAGGTTATTCTATGATGCTATTTAAGAAATTACTATTTCTGCATTATCTCTTCCCCTTTACTGTCCACAACAGAGTTGGAAGAACGAGAGTGTATGTTTACACATTTGTATAAAGTCTGCCACCTTAACAGTAGTGCTGATAAAAAAAAAAAATAAGTTTTGAAAAACAATTTGGAAAATAGTACCAGTGTATTCCTGATTTGCATTGGCAGTCTTTCTAAACAGTCTGCTTTAAAATACAACTTGCAAGGATGGTCAGAGGGTTGGAGCACCTCTCCTATGAAAACAAGGTGAGAGAGTTGGGGTTGTTCAGTCTGGAGAAGAGAAGGCTCTAGGGAGACCTTCTAGCAGCCATCCAGTACCTAAAGGGGGCCTTCAGGAAAGCTAGGGAGGGACTCTGTCAGGGAGTGGAGTGATAGGACAAGAAGAATGGCTTTATACTAAAAGAAGGTAGATTTAGGCTAGATATTAGGAAGAAATTCTTTATTCAGAGGGCGGTGAGGCACTGGCACAGGTTGCCCAGAGAAGCTGTGGATGCCCAATCCCTGGAGGTGTTCAAGGCCAGGTTGGATGGGGCTTTGAGCAACCTGGTCAGGTGGGCAGTGTTCCTGCCTATGGCAGGGGAGTTGAAGCTAAATGATCTTTAAGGTCCCTTCTCACCCAAACCATTCTGTGGTTCTATAACATAGTTGATAATTTGAAGCTATTTAACACCTTATTGTCACTGTGTGAGATATCTTTAAATATCGATGCAGAACAAACAACAAAACAGAAATTATATTCAGCAATATACTAAGAAAAGTACTCATACCTCAGAAACACCAAGGTATCGTGTCAGTACATGAAAGTACATCACAGATTCTCATTCGAGATCCTGAGTAATCTCTATAATATAGTATATAAAATGTCACCCCTCTGCAAATGTTTACCACTACAAGTAAACTTTCCACTACCTAGAGACTGCTGCCAACACCTTGACACCTGCACCCAATATATTTTTTTTTACATTATGTAAAAAATTGAATGTTATGGACCCTTTCATCTCTACATTTGTAGGATTTATTCTTTTTCAAACACGTACCTTCAAAAACATATCATATCCTGTTTGCCTAATTTACTATTGGAAAGGTGTCAAGTCTGCAACAGAACAAACTTGAAAACAAAATTTCTTCACCCGTGCAAAGGTAGGGCTGAAAACATCACCAAGTCTAATTTGTGAGATTTAAATGAGATTGATAGTATGTGTCTAAGACAGCAGGATACAAACTGGGCAGGACAGAATAAGAGCTTTTTTTCCCAAGTGCCAGCTATGGCATTCTTAATTTTGGGGGGAAAGATGCTGTTATTGGAGATTCTGCATTTCTAGCACTGAACCTGCATAGGATGTTTATGAAGAGGAGCTGTAGAGTGGAAACAGAATTACAGAGTGGAAACAAGGCTTTAGATAAAATGTAATTTCATGTTGTTCTGTCTGTATTGGAACATTCAGATCTTAGCTGTTGAGGTTAGTTGTGGTCATGAGCACTGGGAGTGCCAGTTGTGCTAGACTTTGAGGTTGCTAAATATATTTTAATTGCACAGACATGTCTAAACTTTGAGGAAGATAGTTAAATTCGAGCTGTGTTTCCATTTTCTTTGTGGATATTTATTTTATTTGAATAACATCTTGAATATTTGGCATTCAACTGTACTAACTCTTTTGGCACTTTCCTCTCTAGAGATATGCCTTGAAACCAATGTTCTTTCATTACGAAATATTATTGCAGAATTTAAACATTTGTTGTCTGTAGTTTTTTCATTCATTCCTTTTGACTGAATTTTTATTTTTTTCATTTCCTTTCTAATATACAGTTTGAATGTATTAATATTTTTTTCATATCCTACCTTCTTACAGAGTATTGATCTTAACTAATGGTGTAGTCACTAGCACCTTAAGTGCTTCATGAAAAAACTTGTTTTTGTTTGGGTTTCAGCATAGTTTCTCTTATGCATGCTAAAACTAGGAAACAGCTGTTTTATACGTTGCCAAGTTTTGACTTATAAATTTATTCTTCTATGGCAACAGGTTTTTTTTATTAATTAATTAAATTATTATTTCAGTTGTTTGTTTCTCTTACCATTGTGCATTTTGACAGTGTGTCTGGTATTACTGCTGTATACAGTATATATACAGTATACATATGTTTCTGTATCTTGAGACCTATATTCAGTGATTATCTTCAATGTGCAGTATTTTATCTGTGAAGTCAGTACTAAAGTTAGCTACAGTACCACTTAATTATTACTTTTACTTGTTTTTGTTTGTTTTTGCTTTTGTTTGTGTTTTTTTTTTGCTTTTGTTGTGTTTTTTTTTTTTTTTTTTCTGCACAGTATATTGATTACTACTTCATTAACCAAATATGTTTTCATTCCAGTCAGTTTTATATTTGTCAATGTTGTTTTTCGATTTTCAAGTACCATATCACTTAGCTTTCTTGTTAAGCTTTGGTTCATATACAGACCTTCGTAACTTTTGCTTTTGAATATATGAATTTTTGTTTAATCTCGGTGGGTTAAATCCCAAATGCTAATGGCATATTACCTTTCAGTAATCAGTAAATAATAAGAATCTGCTATATCTTAAATAACAAATTTTGTAATTTGTGCCTTTTACCATTCTATAAAAGAATGTTCTTCTTTTAGATTTGATTACTGAAATCTGAATCCAGTTAAAGCAACAAAAAGAAATGCAGTCACACTTTGTTGACTGGTGTGTATTACTTTTTGTAGCAGTTACCTTATTTTTTGTAACTTTTGTAATTTAAAATTATTGTAGCTCTTTCAGAGAGGGATTCACAGAATTACTAAGGCCTTAGGAGAGTGTTATGATGGATACCTGAGTGTAATCTTCTACAAGATCTATAGGTGAAAAAATGACTGATTTTTAAAGTATTTTAATTTCTCCCATGGAAGTTATATCGATGCATTATTGTTATTTGATAACATATTGCTGAACAGTTTTACATTTTATGTTTTGTTTTGTTTTGTTTTGTTTTGCCTTTTTCAAAGCTGTGATGCTGAATCCCTGATCTTTTCATTATTCATTGTCACAGGTTCTTACAAAGGAATTTTATAGTCTTCAGTCTTCTAGTGAAACACGCATTATTGAACTCCAAACACAGAATTCTGAGTTTCAGGCAAGACTAGATACTTACGAAAAACTTGAAAAAGAACTTGATGAGATAATAATGCAAACAGCAGAAAGTAAGTTCTGACACAAATCATATTGTATCTGTAGATGTTTCTGGTGTTCTGACAAGACGTCTTATTTCTCATAGCACTTGGAAAGTATTACAGTGTCTGCCATTCTCCCTCCTTATGCCTGACGATTAAGATGCAGTAATTACTTTGACAGAATATATTAGTGACAAGTTGTGGTGGTTTTAACCAGCTGGGCAGCTGAACTCCATCATAGCTGTTCTCTCATTCTCCTTCCTCAAAGAAAAAGGGGGAAAAATACGATGGAAAGGGCTCAAGGGTTGAGATGATGACAGGGAGATCACTCAACAGTTATTGTCATGGGGTAAAAACAGACTCAGAGAGATTAATGTAATTTATTGCCTTTCCCTGGCAGACTAGAACAGTGAGAAACTAAAAGCAAACTAAAAACTCTCTCTACAGTTACCTTAAAGGAGGCTGTAGCAAGGTGGGCATTGGTCTTATCTTTCAAGCACTACTAAGTAATAAGACAAGAGGAAATGGGCTCAAGTTGCACCAGGGAGGTTTAGGTTGGGTATTATGAAAAAATTAATCACTGAAAAGGTTGTAAAGTATCAGAACTGGCTGCCCAGAGAAGTGGTTGAGCCACGATCCCTGGAGATCTTCAAAAAACGTGTAGTTGTGGTGCTTAGTGAGATAGTTTAATGGTGGACTTGGCAGTGCTAGGTTAAAGGTTGGACTGGATGATCTTAGAGGCCTTTTCCAACCTAAATGATTCTAAGAAAAAACCCTTCCTCCATCCATCCTCTCCTCCCAAGCGGTGCAGGGGAACAGGGAATGGAGGCTGTGGTCAGTCCCTAACACTTCGTGTCTGCTGCTCATTCACAGTCACTCCCTGCCCCTGCTCCACATGGGGTCCCTCCCATGGGATGTTGTCCTTCCCAAAATGAGCCTGCCCACAGGCAGCAGCTCTTCAGGAACTGGCTCCGTACTATGGCTCTTACCATGGGCTCCATCCCCCAGGAGCAAACTGCTCCAGCATGGGTCCCCCACGGGTGAGCTTCCCCCAGACCCCCTGCTCCTGCGTGGGCTCCTCTCCACAGGCTGCAGCTCCGGCCCAGGGCCTGCTCCTGCGGGGGCTCTCCATGGGCCACAGCCTCCTCCAGGCCACATCCACCTGCTCCACCGGGGGCTCCTCCATGGGCTGCAGTGTGGAGATCTGCTCCATGTGGGACCCATGGACTGCAGGGGGGACAGCCTGCTCCACCAGGGGCCTCTCCACAGGCTGCAGGGGAACCGCATCGGATTCTGTTGGAGGAAAAAGGGGAGTTATAGTACAATATTATTTTAATATGATTCAATAACTTTGCTTTTCTTACTATTGTTATTGTATCTTTCACACTAAAATTTAAGGGTAATATTAGTTAAGACTGAATTCCAGCACCAAGGTGAACTTCTGAGGCAAATCAGAAAAAAAGAAAAGACATTTATTTTTTAAAAATAGAGAATATAGACATCCTTTCCCTTGTCTCAAATTAAGTCCTAGCATTTATGTGTCAAAACTAAAGGTCAAAAATATTTGAATGAAAGGAAATACCATTAGTTTCAAATTTAATATGTTCTAGAAATACTCCAATCAGTATTTCAGAGAAGATAAACTAAACACTTCTTTACATTTCAGTACTATGTGATTTTTTTTTTCCTCTACTTGAGTTATGAAGCTTCTGCTGTTTTACACTATCTGGGGGTGCTGAGCAGTTAGGGGAGAGCATTGGATTCTCTGGACTTTTTAGTAAGCTGTGCATTTTCATGTTCAAGGTGTATTTTGTCATATAATCATATAAACTTTTTACTTTGGAGAATGTGCATGTGGAAAAGATCACTGAATTTTGACTTTTATTCCCTCATCATGCCTCACTTTATTAATATTGAAATAACATGAAACAGCCTCTTCAGGAAACTATCAAGAATTTGTATAGCCACTCCTTAAAGCATTTGAGTGGTTTCCACATGAATATCAACAGTAAACTTTCTTGGCATCTCTCTCTTCTTCCTTTTCAGGGTAAAATCTTCATGTTGAAGGATATTTGTTGTAGACTAGTCATTTGATTGTCTTGCTTCCTACTGCTTGGAGCTTTTTAAGAAAAAGATTGAGACTATCTGTATCCTCATGAACATACTTTTTTGCTAAGTAGCGTGAAAAATGACAGTAATAAGAGTTTCCCCTCGCTAGCAAAAATGTACGTTTTCTATCACAGTGTCAGTTGAACAGCCTGGAAGGACAAAAAACAAGATGACACAAGCACATACCAATATAAAACGCTTCTTTGGCTTGATATCTACTATATTTCCAAATTTTTTGGTGTGTCTTCCTGATCTGACATTTATGTGGATACTACTGACAGTTATGGATTTATTGAGTAGAATCTCATTGACACTTTTCTAAGAAATACAGCCCTGAACTTGTAACCAAAAAGGTGGTTTGTGAGAAAGGCAGATTAAGTTATTTGTATGTTTTTCACAACCTGAGGTATTTCAGCCCCTGAGGAATTTCCTATCATAACTAAGCCTTAAAAATCTGAAGTTCTGGTGCCTTTTTACTGCCACAACAGTTGAGTTTTTCTGTCCTACTTACTGGAATTTCTATATTGTTTTTCACAGAATCACGGAATGGTTTGGGTTGGAAGGGACCTTAAAGATTGCCTAGTTCCAACCCTCCCGCCATGAGCAGGGACACCTCCCACCAGACCAGGTTGCTCAAAGTCCCATCCAACCTGGCCTTGAACACCTCCAGGGATGGGGCATCCACAGCTTCTCTGGGCAACCTGTGCCAGTGCCTCACCACTGTCTGAACACAGATTTTCTTCCTAATACCTAAATCTGCCCTATTTTAGTGCAATACCATTCCCCCTTGTCCTATCACTTCAGTCCCTGACAAAGAGTCCCTCTTCTGCTTTCTTGTAGGCCCCCTTTAGGTATTAGGAGGCCACAGTAAGGTCTCCGTGGAGCCTTCTCTTCTCCAGGCTGAACAACCCCAACTCCCTCAGATTCTCTTGATAGGAGAGGTGCTCCAGCCCTCTCTGATAATCCTTGTGGCCCTCCTCTGGACTCATTCTAATAAGGCAATGTCCCTCTTGTGCTGGGGACCCCAGAGCTGAACGCAGCCCTCCAGGTGGGGTCTCACAAGAGCAGAGCAGAAGGGGAGAATCACATCCCTTGACCTGCTGGACACACTTCTTTTGATGCAGCCCAGGATATGGTTGGCTTTCTGGGCTGCAAGTGCACATTGCCAGTTCATGTTCAGTTTCTTGTCAACCAACACCCTCATCCTTCTCCTCAGGGCTGCTCTCAATCCATGCTTTGACCAGCCTGTATTTGTACTTGGGATTGTCCTGGCCCAGGCATAGGGCCTTGTACTTGGCCACGTAGAACTTCATGAGATTTAGTTTATCTTCTATTTTTACACATCATATAATCTCAATTTGATTAAAATTTAGATGTTAGGTTAGATCTGCTTTGTTTGGATGAGTTTATCTGCCAATAAATATTTAGAATAGTATACTGATGTTAAATTTACAATATTCAGTTATACTACAGCATGCAACAAAGATGGTGCAGGGTCTAGTGGGCAAGACATGTGAGGAGCAGCTGAGGTCCCTTGGTTTGCTCAGCCCAGAGCAGAGCAGGCTGAGGGGAGGCCTCATGGCGGCCTGCAGCTCCCCTGCGAGGGGAGCGGAGCGGCAGGCACTGAGCTCTGCTCTCTGGGGACAGCAACAGGACCCAAGAGAACAGCATGGAGCTGGGACAGGGGAGGGTCAGGCTGGGTATCAGGAAAAGGTTCTTCACCAAGAGGATGGTTGGGCACTGGTCAGGGCAGTGGTCACAGTACCAAGCCTGCTGGATTTCAAGAAGTCTTTGGACAATGCTCTCAGACATATGGTTTGATTTTTGAGTGGTCCTGTGTGGAGCCAAGAGTCGGACCCAATGATTCTTGTGGGTCCCTTCCAACTCAGGACATTCAATGATTCTGTGTTGTCTCATAAATTCTATTTTAGAAGCACACTACATTTAACGTTGTTATCACTAATGATATCCCATCGTCTGCATTGTTAGTAAAGATTTTGAGCAGTATTAACACCTGAGAGATGCCACTATCGGATGACTGACTCAAAGTTGGACTTGGTATGACTAATTTGAGACCAAAGGTCCATCCAGTTTTCCACCCACCCAATGCATGCTGGTTTGGCTGTAAGGATATTATGAGAGACTGTATCAAAGGTTTTGTCTTTACAGTAGTCAAGGTGAACAACTTCTGCTGCTCCCTCTTACTACCAATCATTTCATCACAGAAGGCTATGAGGTTAGTCAGACATGATTTGTTTTTGCAACCTGTTCCCAACCGTGTTCTTGTCCATACTTGGAAGTAGGGAAATTAGCTTCATAACTTCAACAGAGACTGACGAGAGACTGACTGGTTTATCATTCCACAGAATCTCCTTCTTGCCTTCTTTGAAGATAGGTATGGTATTTGTTTTTCTCAGATTATCAGGAATTTCTGATCATCACAGTCTTTCAGTGATGGTCAGCAGCCTTGCAGTGACATCAGCTCTCTTAGCAGCCTTGGATTTGTCTCTTCTGATCCCATGGACTTGTTTATGTCCAGTTGGCTTAAGCACTCCCTAATTTTATCTTCCTCTACTATCTCATGTATGCACAAAAAATGCATTATTTAGAAAAAAACAAACGGCAACATATCTTTTTTCTGCGGAATTAAGCTTGTAATATTACTTTCTATTTTGTGACCATACCAGTAGTGAATATTCCAGGGCACTGACTTTCTTTTTTTTCCCCTAATTTTATATTATCTGTTACTTTTTTATTAAGTCCTATGCTAATTCAAAAATAAAAAGTGAAAAGCCTGCCAATGTTATAAAGTGAATGTAGGGTACTGTATTAATGCTAGTTGTCAACAAAACTGTTTGACTGAAGCCTGAAGGCTGTGTCAGTTTACAACTGAAAATCTATCTTCTAGAAAAAAAAATATATATAATTATAAATAGATGCATGCATATAATTGTAAATAGAATCACTTAGAAGTTTGTAAGTTCTCATTGTAATTATATTCTTCAAAGGACACCTTAATAATAGTACCTTTCTGGATTTTTTTGCAGTGGAAGATGAAGCTGAAGCTGAAAGGGTTCTCTTCTCATATGGGTATGGTGCTAATGTTCCTACAACAGCCAAAAGACGACTAAAGCAAAGGTAAATAGGTGGCTCCTGAATTTACTTGTTCAAGATAAAGTAAATGAATGTGTGTAAATGTGTGTAGTATGTTCTATCTTAGAAACTAGCCAGTTTGGTTAACATAAAGAGTCATTTTAATGACTTAAGAATACAGAAAGAGGGCGAAGAGTAGGATCTGTTAATGTGGTTTATATATATTAATGAGCATATAGATATTTTTCTAGGTTATTTTAAGATTTTTTTCTTATTTTTTAGAAAGATTAATTTTAATTGCATAAAAACTAAGCAGCTGTAAAAACATACTAGTTACATTCTTCATATAAAGGAAATAAGTTCTTTAATACCTTTAAAATAACTTTGTTTAATTGCAACAAAAACATATCTGTCAGGAAATTAAGAAGGCCAGAGTTTTAGAGCATCTTTACACCCACAGTATTTGATTCCAATTACATGTTTCAGTTTGCTCTGATCCCATTTGATCAGAGCAAATCCAATTGCTCAAGACCTTTTACAGTTCTGATTATCTCTATAGATGAAGATTCCACATACTCTACAATATTAGGTCAGAGTAACTTTTTTTTTTTGTCTTCAGCTTGACAGAGAAGACACACTTAAGAAGGTTGTTCTCTCAGTATTAGACTCATTCTTTGCATTTTGAGTGTGCCTACAGTTTGCTTGAATGCAGGAAAGTACGCTGTAATTTGTGTTAGTGTTAGACTTTGACCACACTTTTTTCCATCAAAATGAGAAACCCCACCATTGTTGGTGGACACGTTGGAATAGAGACAAGATAAACATGTAGCACAACTTCACAGGATATATATCTAGCATTCAGCTATCTGTATTTCAGAAGCTGGAAGTGCAGCTTTGTCAAGGAAAACTGTTTGTTTTTGCTACAAATGTGTGTTTAGTTGGTTTTGCCCTCTTAACCTCCTGCCCCCCCACCTTCTCCAATAAAAAGAAGATTTAATGTCCTTTAGGACAGTAATACACTGTGATAGTTACTGTTGTGAACTAAGGACAAATGATGGCCTGTTCATTTTTGCAGCAAAGATTTATGGGCTGCGCACTGTCTCTTCCATAGTTTATACTTGTTTTTCAAGTAAGTGTTGTCAATACTGTCAATCATATTAGACCTGTCATGCACTGAGTTGCATATTGCTGTCAGAAATCATAAAGGTTTTATGTAGTACTTAAGTTTGGCATAGCTTAGTTTACTCTCTTGCATTTTTGTGCCTCATCAGATTGTTTCCTAGTAACATTTCTTTTTATACTGCATAAAATTCCAGCAAGAAAAGGGAAAAAAAAATCCATAACCTTGTTGCATGTCTGTTTTAGGAGACTAGTGGGAGCATCTTTGCCTAAAATTTCAGTTCCCTCCTCCTCTGTCAATAGTTTGGGAACTTTTCTGAGTTTCAGAAGTTTTCTAGTTTCCTTCTTTTTTCCTACCATATTAGGTTCAGTTTTATTAGATGTAGATTATGTACACATTCAAGGATTCTGCTAAATCACTTTTGAATGATGAATCTGATGATCAGTAAACTGGGATATCAGAAATGTTTAGAAGATAACTTCCTGAGCTTAAAAGTGGCTCTGTCAGAATGTATGCATTGTAATTCCTCTTTTGTTCCAAAAGACATTAACAGATAAAGCGAATTTTAATTCTTCATAATGATGTTGGAGACTTCATAAATTTTAGAATATAAAATTAAGAACCTTAAAAAAGCCATAAGTGTCTGTATGGTCTACCTGCTGCTGTTCTGACTCAACGATAGCTGCCATGTAGAAAAAGTGTGTGACTCCTTTGGCTCCAAAGCTTGAAAGCAAAGTCTCTCTGACACCAACTTCTATGTTTAGAGCACTTAAATAAGTACAGGTACATTTTCTATTCTCTGGAAAGAGAATCTATTACAAATGTGAATAATCTTTTTTTGAGTCCACTACCTGTTTTTTTTTAATTTCTGACCTTTGGAATCCTAAATGAAGAGCTCTTCTAAGTTCACAACACACAATTCAGAGTCAGATTAAAACTTAATACAAAACTGCCTATTCAAGCATAGTGCATCATGGAGTCTATACCTCTTTGCCTCTACTTTTTTCTGTGCTATTTCATGCCTTTGGACATAGGCACTGTAAACCCAGTGTATAAACTAGTATATTAAACCCATCTGGGAACATTCTCAAGCACTGAGACAAAATCCCAAATTGAACTCTCAGTGTAGGTTAACTGCATGAGAACTACTTAACAGTAACACTTGCTGGCCCACACTAACCCCTCCACTGTGCATAGAAACTGTTTGTGAGAGTGTAAATTACCACGTGCCAGAATGCTAGCAGGGGTGTTTAGTGGTTTGCTAGACAGTGGTTTGCTAATAGTTATCTCATCCTTGAGCACTGTATAATTTTCTGTTGTAGTCGGAATCAAAGTTTTCCAGTCTTTGGAGATGAAGTACCTTTGTCCCTTTTGCTTTAAATTTAAGCTAGTCAAAAAACATATTGAAAAGCATACTTGAAATACATACTTGTGCTTATCTTTAAATACTCAAAATTCAGGTTAAGTTCACTGAATAGTTGTAGCCAGAAAAAATATGAAAACTAATGCATAAAAAGACTGATGCATAAGGTCCCTAACTAGAGATATTACAGAAGTGGTTGTTTTCTGTTTTGTACTACATGGGATCCTAACGCACATCTCATACCTCATAAACAAAACTCTGAATAACTAGTTTGGAGGATATCTCTTTCCCTCAGTTAATGTTTACAGTCTGATGCTCCTTGTAGGAGTAATTGAGAAAGAACCAACCTCTTAGTGAATGCTGTTGCCAATTTCAGGTCATTCCTCACATATGAGGTGAAAGTAGAAGATTGTCTGTATGAAAGGGTAGGTTTATAACACAAGTGAAGAATATTAAGACTTCTGCCAAATCTAAAAGTGTATTCCTTTTTACTGAGGAAGAGGTGGTGGTTATGAGTGGTCAAATTCTCAGAGAAAGTATATATACTCATCTAGCTATACATAGTCTAAACCTCAGCTTAAGGGTAAATAAAATCTTCCTGTTGGTCAGCTGTAGGCCACTTAGGCTCATATATGTTCAGTATTGTGGTCAAGAACTAGATAACACTGCTGTATTTTATTTGGAGACTCAAAGTCTTAGATTTTCAATTTATGGACAATATGCATTCAGATTCTATGATATGAACTGGAGTAACTCCTCCCTTCCTTTGATATAGAAGTTTTTGAAAAATGGTACACATTTGACTGGAAGGATAGATTGTTGTGTAGAGCCATCAGATGAGTGGTAAAGGCACATTAAAAAGGGATGAGTATTAGCCCCATGTATCTTTCTCATTGTTAGAACTCTGAATTTCTCATGTCATAGTTGTATAATAGATTGGTTCCCAGAATACCTAAATATAGAGGGGTACAGCCATAGCTTATCTAGATATATTTTTCACAATAAATAGCCAAACTACTACAATCCCATCATTACAGGATACATAAATTTAGACATCTCATCATATGTTTAGTGTAGAGATTTGGCATCTAACCTCCCATTATAGTCAATCGAGTTCTAAGCAGTACAGTCAATGGAGTTTGGAGTATATTTCAGCTCATTGTCCAAGAGTCCACTTTAGTGGAATATGTTCAGGCTCTACTGACTCTATTGAATAGGACTAAATGACTGTAATAACAACTTGAAAGGCTGGGTTAGAGATCTGGAAATAGGCCCTGTGATTGCCTGCTGAATCTTCCCATTGCCATCTATAGAACAGTGCTCTTGAATTGGTGATGAACTTCTCTAATTTTGGACACGAAACATGCAACAAGATGAGGTGTTCGAGTAGCTGAATAATTAATTTGTGGGTCTGTTAAATAAGTGGTGATAACATGTAATTAGCATGTTAAATGTCAGACAAAATGATTTGCCTCTGTTTAGAAAATTACATTTTTTGCTATGCTCCTACAGAATGTATATTGGTGAGTATTTTTTAAGACTGATTTAAGGAGAAGCCACTTAAAGTGATTACTTAAAGTGCTAAAAAAGTAAAAGCTCATAATTAATTGAAGCATCCTGACATGATTATTGCAATTGCATAGATTGTACAAATGATACAGGTAATTACTTTGTAAGAAATACTACAATGGCATAACTATAAGAATGTTATTTCGGTGCTGTTAAATTCTATAATATTTTCATTGTTCTTTAAGCTTTGACCATTCTGTTTGGTTTCCCTGTGTAGTTTATGTATTAATATTTAAATATCGATGAAAAATTAAGGTAATCAAGTTCTTAAGTATAATTGTGAGAATTTCTTTTGCATATTTGGGAAAAAAAACAACTTGAGTTTGCTTTTTGTTGGCACAGTGTTCACTTGGCAAGGAGGTTACTGCAGCTAGAAAAGCAAAACTCGTTGCTTGTAAAAGATCTGGAACATCAGAAGGAACAAGTAACACAGATTTCACAAGAGGTAAATTACTGCTACAAAAAAAATCAAATCTGTAGAAACTATAAACATTGCAGAACAGCTGTTCATAAAATGAAATATTTTCTAAACAGTGTTTATTATCTATTTGATGTCAAAAAAAATGGCCTCATAATTAACCAAAACTCTATGTTAAACTTTCTCAAAGAAGTTTATATTGTGTTTTGAAATGGAGATCAAAAGAGGGATTACTTTATAGGCTACACAAGAATGTAGGCCAGACAGACAACGTTCTGATTTCTGAACAGAAAACCAGCTAGCCAAACTAGTTTGTTCTGTTTGATAGTTAATTGTTCAATGAATACCTCATTACTTTTTACACAGCTCTGCCCTTAAATCAGTTTTGAAGATATTTCTGTAAATCCTTTTGTACTTTGTTCAGCTCTTGAGTAGTTTGAATATACAAATCTAGGGAATGTTTGACATTAGCCATTAAAAAAACAAAACAAAACAAAACAAAACAAAACAAGCAGCTAAAATTAATCTTTTTGACAATGTTACAATGGGTTAAATTTCATGATCTTATTAACATCTGTATGTAATAGCTGAAATCGCATATTACACTCAAACAGAGAATAAATACTAAACAAAAATCCTTTTGCAATCTCCCGGAAGTAAAACTTTTTTTTTTTCATTATTTTTAAGATTGTCTTCCAAGTTTCTCATAGGAACCAAAGAACTGCTAGACTTGCTGTTAGATATTGCCACCATATGAAATTTCCAGCTAACTGCTTTGGGAATATGGTTTACAGTTGAATTTTTAAAGCCATAGTAATTATAAATTAACATAACTATATGAAAGTTAACTTTCTATTTACAGTCCAAATGCTTGAATTTTCTGCATATTTAAAAAACTTGGATTTTATGTATTTATATTTATAAATATAACTATATATATATAACTATATATATGATTTCTGAGATATGTATATATGAACAGTGTATGTTTTTGTGTTTATTTTTTTGACTCATACTACAATTTACTATGGATTCTTCCAGTTATATGTTAGTAATTTGTATTTGGTTAAAATATGCTTTTCAAATGTCCTTGACTTGAAGAAATGAAGTGATGAAATCCAGTGGTATCCTTGATAATTTCTTCTATCATTAGCCTTACACTATCATTAATAAAATAGGTGCTTTATTTCCCCAAACTATCTGGTTTCCACTTTCATAGATTTCTCCTTACCAGTGGTTTTATTTACATTGCTTCTAGATCACTCATGAAAGATTTAGAACCACTGACCTTAATTCAAATTCCTGCTAAATTCCACTAGAATATCTTCATCTCATTTTTGGAAGAATTTATATGAGATGTCATGTAGCCTTTTCTTGATCTTTTGTCATATAATTGTATATTTTAAATCAGAATGTGATTCAGTAGTCATTTAAATGTCCTGCAGATAGTACAGACAGCTAATGCACAGCTACTAAGCTTGTATAAAGTTAAACTAATCTCTGTTTGCTATTTTTACTGTATGCCTTGAGCTAGTATGGATTTTTACTCCAAGGTGTCTTGTTTCTTGAAATTTTTTAAAAAGCAAAACAGATCCTTTTCATCATGGTCAGGTAGCCCATTACTATTCTTTCAATTGGCGGTTGGTTCAGACATCTAGGTGAAAGTTGATGACAAAGTGATTGCACCAACTTTTGTTTTGAACTTGGATTACGTACTGGAATCCATACTTGGATTCTGCTACAGTATGTATGATACAACCTTTTAAAAACTTTATAAAGGTGGGAAAAAAAGATTACAATAACTACAACGGGTGCTCCTTGTAAGATTCTTTTTATAGAGTATTCTTATCCAATTGCTGCTGAGGTTTACAGAAAAGAGAGCTTTATAGATAAGGAATCATATTGATCTTCTTGTAAAGTTTAGCCTTACCAAGAAGTAAATGCTCACTTCTCCATTCTTTAATTCATTTGATGGAACTATGGTACCTGCTTGAAAGTTGGAACCCAATGGAAAAGCTCAGCTGCTGAAAAAAACTTACCAGTCTTCAGTTAGTCCCATTATAGTTTTTCAGGCTTTATTTAAGTGTGCAGAATCTTGTGTGTTCTCGGGTGTTAAAAGAATGACGCAGGAACACATAAGAATCTTGTACATTTAGGCAGAAAGAAATTCAAGTTGCTTACAAAAAATAATACTATTGCTCAATAATAATGGTTAATTCATTTGTATATGTGTACATGAGTAAAATTGATGTGAGAAATGCATTTAGCGCTTAATTTATTATGGTTTAACAAAAATCTCTTTTAGGTCTATAGAATCAAATTAGGCAGAAAAGCACTACTATCGAGTGGGAAGGGATAGCTGTTTTTAGTAAATGTGATCCATTCTAGCTAGTAAAATTAACAAGTGAATAGATGAGTTAGCAGCATTGAAACAAGCTTACAACACCTCACTTGTTCTTTCCTACTGAAGTATTTCAAGTCTTATCAAGGAGAACAGTGAGGAACTTCACACTGTGATGACAGAATCCTTTGAAATTTGGTAGGCTATCAGGAACAGGTTCTTCCAAACAAGAGCTGCATTAATTTTGTTTCTCCTTTAATGGCAGCCTCAAGGTTTTATGCTGATATTTTTAGATCATCCTAGACATTAATGCTCCATGTCTTGAAACTACCCTACGTCATGTAAAGACTTCTTCCATTGTTTTCCTAGAACGGATCTCTTTGATAGCTTCTGCTGTCAGAAAACTAATAGCTTATTTTTTTATTGCTTATCAATTTATTGAAGATTTGTTTCTTCAAAAAGATGGTTGCCTCTTATTTTTACTTCTCTACTATGAAATTGATAATTCACTGTGGACTAGAGTAACTTCTTTAACTAATTTATTTAAATAATAAAGATTCATATGAATTTTAAGATGTGCAATGTTATTTTCTTTCATTACACTTTTTAAAACATGAGGTGAAGATAACTCTCCTTTTAGAAAGGTCAGTATGTTGAACAAGCAAAGTTTTGTCCAAATTCTGTTTTTTAATAAAAGTGAACCATTACATTGTAAGTTCTTTGCACATTTGACAGAGTAGAGAGTATTATAGTAAAACTGCAATAAAATATTATGGAATCAGAGAAGGAAGGAAAAGAACTTAGGCAACGCAGCCTCATGTTTTGAAAATTGGGAATGAGATTAAAATCTGACCTTAGGAAAGTCCTAAAATATTACATAGGCTAGTTCTGTAGGAGGGTGGGTATTTTGTTTTGTTTTGTTTTTCTGCTTTTTTTGAACAACAGTGTATAGCACAACTTGCTCCTCAGTCTGATTTGGCAAATGCAGATTGTTTAATCTATTCAGAAATTTTATAAACTAATTGGAAAGCTTAATGATTAAATTCATTCCATTAGACCTGTTTGTATCTAAACTTTAAAAGATTTTAATTTACTTTCTTTCAAATCTAGTTAGTGTTCTTGACTTGTATGTACTCCAGCAGCTGAAACTGCTGAAATCTGGATGTTTGATCTTAATTCTGTATATCGTTTAGTGAATGATATTGTTACACTGCTCAGGATACAAACCGTATCAGTTAATATTTAGCATTGCATTTTATTGTTTTATTCCTAGTGATCCTAATTTATGCAGGGAATAAGGCTAGAAGGTTTGTTTCCTATACATAGGTATGACAGGCCTTTTATACTGCTCTGTTAAACATCCTGTTGGATTTTACAGTTCATATGCAGCAACTGATTAAAGAAGAAGGGACTTTTTTCCATTATTACTTTGTCTTTATTTAGATTCAATTTCCAACATGAAAATTCCATTGTGAGAGTGCTATTTCAAAAAGATGTCACTTGTAGTCAATACAGCGAACAAACAGAGGCCTTCTGTATACTCCTTTTTTTTCATAAATGGAAGCTGTTACATTAAAACACTGAAATATGCAAACTAGGAGAATATAGACACTAGTAGCATGATTGTAGAGAAATTATATAGCTTGTTGCGTTTTTGTGAGTTAACAGGTTTGGTTTTGATATTGCTATGCAATTGGTAATAATCGATTGTGATTCAATAATAAAGACATCATTGTGCTTTATGAATTTTAAAATTAGTAATGCTTTTCTTTTGTTAGCTTGACAGAGCAAATTCTTTGTTGAGTCAAGTTCAACAGCCATATAAATACCTCATTGAAACCGTGCAACAGAGGGATTCTCAAATAAGTCTACAAAAGGAACATATTGCACAACTTGAAAAAGATGTCAGGTAATTAAGATTACTGTTTCTTTATTTTAAAATTAAATTAAAATAATTTATGTATTTATCATTAGAAAAAAAAATGTTATTGTCCATAAAGTAGCATTGACTAAGTCTAGTTTTTATGCTGGAACTCTAGCTTCTGTGAATTCTCTTATACAGTCATAAAAATAGGCTTTAGGTTTGGAAAAGCAGGAATGAGGGAGTCAGGTTTAAAATGAGTCTGGAGTTGAGAAGAGTTCTCAGGAGGTAGAGGAAAATTCAGAAGAGTAGAAGGAAAGAATGACGTACCAGATGTACAAACGTAAAAGTAAAGAAATAAAGTCACAGAAACATAATACTAGTCCACTAGGCAAAAGGCAGCTCAGATGTGACATGAGCAGGCTTCCTGTAGTGTAGACTCTGATTTGCTGTTCTGTCCAGCTGTCAGAACTCTCCGATCACTGAGCAGCTTCCCAACATCAAATACCTTTATAAACTGTGTTTACCATTTGGTTCCCAGCTAAACTGTTGTAAAATAATTTGCCACCTGATTTTCAAGGATGTGGATAGTTGTGTCCCACTGCGCTACAGAAGAATAAATGTTTTATCTGTTAGGCATTTTTGCGGTGTCTTAGTTTAGGAAATGCACATGGTAATAATTATGAAACATTAATGCAAATAAAAACACGGTTTTTCCAATAAACCTGTTAAATGAATGAGAATAGAAAAAGTAAGTCTCACCATAGCTAAATACTTTATCCTACATAGTGTCTTACATATACAATCATAGAATCAGTTAGGTTGGAAAAGACCCTAAAGATCAAGCCCCACCATCAACCTAACACTACTAGGCGGTGGACCCAAGCCTACCATTAAACCGTGTTCCTAAGTACCATAGCCATGTGTCTCTTAAATACCTCCAGGCATGGCAACATCTCCACTTCCTGTGTCATCCTGTTCCAATGTCTAACCACAGTTTCCATGAAGAAATTCTTCCTAATATCCATTCTGAACTTCCACGGTTGCAACTTGAGGCCATTTCCTCACGCATTCATTCAGAGTGTTTGAATGGTTTGGGACAGTGTTCGCTAAACCTTAAGGATACCTAAAAAGGCTTGTTATACAAATTGAACTATACAAAAATTAATACATTTAGAAATAAACTGAAATCTTCACTCATAGTCCCTGACAGGGTATGTTTCACTGGGTTTATTTTTAATTCAGTAAGAATAGATTATTTGATTTTATTCCAGAAACAAGTGTTTTATTATGTTCCTAGACTTGATGTATTACAACAAAAACCTCACCTCAAAGATAAATTATATTTTTCCAGAGGATGAGAACTATATTTTTCCAGAAGATGAAAAATCACAATAGTCTGTCCATACGTAAGGTCTTAACTTCTAATTGTGAATGAAATAATCAAAGAATTCATCAGTAGCAAATGAAATTTTCAGTTATAGGTGACTTGAATTTATTTTTATTTATTTATTTATTTTTACTATTAATGTAGCAGTAGTTTATTATTTGTGTAGTGCAAAAGTCTCTCAAAAGCTAGGAAAAAATAAACATTGGAACATTTTCAGTCCTACGTTTCTTCAGATGAGGTCTTCATAGGCGTTTAACATTAGATTGGTCAGTTCATTTCTGAAAAATATGTTTCATGCCATTAAAATATATAAGAACTTAAATGCCTTATTAGCATTGATGCTCTTGAGTTTCTGTAGCTCATCACAAATAATCTGTATGCCCAGATATTCTTCCTAAATTTAGCCTGCAATTAAGGCACTTAAATTGAGAACTTGGTCATGTTAGCTTTCCTTAGTAGCCCATGGAGGAAGTAGCATCTCCAAAAAATAGTTCAGATTTGTGATGGAGTGAATTATTTGTCAGAGATGCCTGTTAGTCTCCACTGATTTTTGGCCTCTTAAAGTTCCTTAAGGTTAGGGAGAAAAATGTGTCTGCACCACACAGTGAGCATCCATGGTAAACATATACCAGCAATACCCAACTGTGGCAAGCTGGGGTGTGCTCACCATCGGTCAGTTGTTCTGTAAACGAAACTGGTCTGACAAGAAACTGCTTTTATCCTTAATGGTTTTGCAGCAAGAAAATAACACTTTACACATCAGGTGTTTTAGTAAGAAGCTTTTTCCTGTAGTTTCCAATATTCCTTTTAAACTGAAATGTCTGATATTCCCTTATCACAGTTTTACCTCAGTTTTGCCAGTTTCATAGCCCAGTGAAAATCATTGGAAACAGACCAATCTGTATGCCTTTTTGTACATATTAGTAGTCCTTAAATTCGTTGTTGATAACTACCTGTTTAAAACAAATTTCCTAAATTATTAGCTTAGAGTCCCTTGAGCACTGGAGAAATCATAATCATGTATAAACTTGATAATGTTGGTTGTTTGCTGTTCCATATAATGTTGGTCATTTGCTTTTCTATATCTGTAACTGGCATCAAATGTAGAGGAAGGGATCTCTAACCAGACAACCATTATATTCCAGCAATCCTCTGTCAGGATAACCTTTTGTATCTACTAATGATTCAGTATATCTACTGATTTAGATTAAATTAAAATTAAAATGGAATTAAAATTATATTAAAATTGAAATATCCTTTAGGTAATTTCAGTGGATATTATGTGGAACATTTTGGCTCTCATCTATTGCAGAACTGAATTCAGAATATGATTTAGATAAATGAATAAAATAATCCCTACCAAATGTATTCCAAGTAAAGCTCTGCTATATAAAAAGATTTAACAGTCTTTCTTAGTTTATCAAACAACTTTTTGTTGGTTTGTAAGTGGAATATTTTTGAGAGTACAAGAAGAGTGGAATAGACTCAGACAGATCCTTTTAATATGACTCTTGAGAAGTCCGTCCAAGATCCATCCAAGTTTACTTCCAGCATGGTATTCAGAGTTCACTTTACCCAGAGATGCTTATGTGTCCTTATGTATAAGCTTCATAGCTCTAGAGCTAAGGCTAAATGTCTTCCTTACACAGAAGAAACTATTTCAGTATTGTTCAAATAGTATTCAACGTTGCTTGTGTCAATAGCTGGCAACTTGAAAGAAGAGTAATGGTCAAAATATGAACCAGAGTGAATCAAGGCTTGAAACTAATATATTCCATCAGATCCGGAGCTACTTTGGTTGCTTGCTGAGAAATATTTCTGTTCTGAATACCTTCCACACAGCTGTGTGGATCTTTAGCCATACCTTTACCAAGAACTGCAAAAGCTATTCTGGTTGGGGTAAATGCTTCGATGAGCAGCTGTCAATACTTTTAGTTATTTCCATGAACGACTTAGGGACCCATCATGGTTGTGTGGTGCTACTGCTTAACTTCATGTGTAAAGGTGCATGTTTGCTGCCACTCAAAGATGAGAGAAAAGGTTACCTAGGGGTAATCAAAGCTTTTTTGAATATTACCTGTGATCACTACTGCTGTCCTCCCCACCCACCACGGAATTTTCCTGGACAGGCTGTCCACTGTGCTGGCATTCTGCAGCAGAGAGAACTGAGGTTTGATTGGGAGCAGTCTACCTTGTATGCTTGTGTGCTCAGCCATGTATCTGCAGATATGCTTCAGTAACAAAATCTCTGGTCTTGAGTAACAAGGTATCTACAGGATGAATTTTTGATGGTCCACATATCTCAAGATATTCTATTAAGTAACCTCTCGTTTATGTTAGTACAAAAAGCGCTTTCATTAACAAAATTAAATAGTGATGTTTAATAAGAGCAGTTGTATGTATGTGGATGACTGCTTTGTATTATAAAAAAAGCTCTTGAGTATGCAGTTCTTTAACCAGAAATGAAAACACTGCATTTAGCACTCCTTTTGAAAAGAAATGCCTTGTAACGATGTCATGCTGTGGGAAAATAAGACTATGGATTTCATTCTTAGGTGTGTAGTGAAGTAATTGTAGTTTTGGTACATAGTTTGCTGCTAAAACATCTAGGTATATAAATAACTGGCGACATTAAACAGGACTTCATTCATAAAGAGAAGGTATTTATTTTAAATGTACTCCAATTTCTCAATACCAATTGCTAGTTTTAAAAGTAGCTCACTTATCCGAAAGCATTCCTCAAAAGCCTAACTGTGTGGCAAACCTAGAAGCAGTACAAGGATTTTGCTAACTAAGAAGCTATATACTGAAATGTTTCTTACCTAAACATTTGGGGTTTTCTAATTGCCATTCAAATATTATAAAGCTCTGCATACAGTTTTGGTTGAGTTTTTCCCATCACAGAAGGAGCAATGAGCTTTTTATGAGAATAGTACCATTCTGTGTAACATGCATCATCTATCCAAACACTACTGCAAACGGCCTTTTAAACAAAGTTTGTGCAACTATATATTTTTTTTCTACAAATATATGTTTTCTGATCTGTATTACAACTTTAAAAAGTACAACTTAAAAAAAGGTTGTGGTTGTTTTCTTTTTTTTTTTTTTTTTTTTTTTTTTTTTTACAATTTGAAAAAGGTAATTCTTTCTTGTTTTGGACACTGTTCAGACAGTTCTTACACCACCTGAAGCACTCTGAAATCATTAAACAGCAGTCTCCTAAATGTCTTTAAAAATTTGATCTGTCATTATTTAGCTGCACATTGAAAGATCTCTTCTGAAGAACTTATTATTCGAAGAATTTTTATACCTCCCTTTTTAACTACATGAGTTAAAAAGAAAACTCAACTTAAGCTTTCAAAACTAGCTGCCTTCTCTGAGCTAATCATCAGTAATTTGCAGAGAAGGGATATACCCACGTTGTAGGTTCAATTTTATGTACAAAGCCTTCTCATATACTATTTTTAGATTTGATCGTTTTGATGGTAATATTTGGATATGAACATAAAATGTGAAGAAAAAAAAAAAACACCACACCAAGATTGAACTTCAATTTTCAACTTTATCTTGCTCTAACTTGAAAGTAACAGAAAGAGACAATCCTTATTTCATAAAGCATTTAGAATGCATGATTCTCCGAAAAAGAAACCTACTTTTTGTCAAACTGAACAGAAGCAATAATAAAATCCAATAATACATAAAACCATGTTTATTTAGTGTGTCCAACATAAACATATTATCCTAAATATCTAATGATAGAAGCTTCTGTACAGGCCAGTAGCTGGTATACTTGGATCAAAGATTTAAAAGATGTCTCCGTTGCCCAAATTCAAAAGGATTTTAAAAGTCTGAAACTGGGAAATGTTAGTATTCATTCTCCAGGAAAAAAAAAACTTCACCTAAAAATGTCTTTCCTATGATATCCAAGCTACATTGCCTGTAGATCCTGAGGAAAGCAAAACAAAACAAGCCAGTGATTGCTATGAGCAATGGGTGTGTAGGAGACAAGTGTATTCCCTGGTAAGTCCTGTGCTCCTTTTCCCTGGATTCATGCCTGAGTAGGTCTTGAAAGCATGGTGGAATGAAATTGCATGTCCTCCTAGACATTTATTTATTTCCTCTGGAAACCTATGCACACAGGAGAAGCATGAGCTGTTTTTTAGTTAATTCTCCAACTGGACTTTTGGGGGATATTTGGACTTACATGATATATCACAAAGGGCACCTTCCCCACACTCCGAATGGAACAGCCCGTGGCCGGGACTGTGGAGCAGAGCAAGGTCTACACTTGCCCTTCAGTTTCAGAACAGCTGTTTGTGCTGTTATATTACTCAAAGGATATTAGATCATCCCAACACAGTCCATTTCCCCCAAGCATTGACATGTTTTTTCACCCGAGACTGACTGTTCAAGTCATTGGAAGATTTATTTTGATACAGTGCTGTTTAATACTTACACACATCTCTGCACCATGAAAACTTGAAAATACTGGTCAGTTAAAAAAAGGTTAAGATCCTGTGTCTTCAGGTGGAAGTTAAAGCCCTGTAGCTCAGCTACAAGAAGCTGGTTTGTGTAGACTCACAGGTTACGGTTTCAAGATCATAGTAAGACAGTCAAGACACGCTGTCACCAAATGGGGCAGTCTTATCTTCAGCCTTAGGTTTCCACTGTACATGGTGAATCAATTTGGTTTGGTGATCCACATGTAAAATGACTTTAAAAACCACTCCAGTGTTCATTCAGGTCAGTAAAGCGACCTAGTCGTGAAGGTCACAAATTTCCTAGTACCAACACAAAGAGAGGGAGTACCATTTTGTGGTTAGGGATAGGGAGGGATGATCTTTCAGCAGCAATTGCCATTTAGGTCAGCTGAAATGAACTGCAGATGAACTGCTCTCAGATTTGTTGCACTGCAAATTAGAACTGGATTAGTTTAAACTGCTTGCTGATGGAAGTGTGAGATGGCTTAAAGTTAGAACCACGTTGACCTTTTACATCCAAGATGCCTGTTCGGAACAGGGAAAAGTTCAGTTCTTAATAGGGAAATGTTCATTCTTCTTCCCCAAACTGAACTTTAAGGAAGTTTTACTTAGTCATTATAGGTGTGAATTTATTAATGTTATTTCTGATAACTCTGCTTTCTCACTCTGTTGTGTATATATGCCTCTTTTGCAGTATTCTTTCAGAAGTGTATGAATTAATTTTTTCTGTCTGCAATGATGTAAAAGCATAAGTTGCAAAATCACTAAATCTGAAGTCTGAACTTGATTTGGTAATTCTATATTCAAAGGGGTTTTATACATGACAAAACACATTAAGTCCTACTGATTTACAATAGCAGTCTAATTCCTATATTTGACCATAAACAAAGAAAATTAGAACAATGCTGAGGCTGCTCCACATGGATCAGTTGTGTCATGTTCTTTCAGGAGATGTAACTAGTATAACTAGAATGGGTTCTATTCTGTGGATGAAATTAAACCTTGAACATGAATTTCTGGTTAGTCATGAATACTGACGTACATGCTTATTCAGTACGCTATTTAAGACATACAGGAATCTTTTATTGTTGCTTTTCTAATACATTTGTGAGTCATTCTCTAAATGGATTGGTTTCTGCTCTTAGGAAGTACAGAAATCCAAGAAAAACTTTCATATCAGTAAATTATAACAAATGAACCCAGGAAAATCATAGTACAGCAATTTCATCATGATTAAAAACATCACAGAAAATGTTTCTTGAAAATACTGTATTCCTGAAAATACTGTATTCTTGAAAATACTGTAATATCTTTGCAGTTTTTCATAAATGTTAATACTTTCCTTTTAAATAACTCAGTAAAACAAAAAAATAATTTGGCCAAAGTATACACTTTTTCCAAATTCTAGTGAATTCATAGAAGTAATTAACAGTCATAATTTACAGTACAGAGCTGGTAAGGAACTGCCAGAAAATCTCTGGGACAAAGGATGATGATGTTGCTCATTTGAAACTAGCAAATGATGCAAGAAAAGATTGATTTATCCTGTTGATTATTTCTTGTTTAAATGTTGGGAATACTGAATAATTTGTGTTTGCTATATATGTAATCACTCACTTCAATTTATAAAATTTTAATACATTTGCTTTTGAACTCGTGACCTGATTCAGTACTGCATATTTGCATTCCATATGCAGAGTTGCATTTTGCATAGTTGTTGATTCATATTACAGTTTATATTGCAAAATCTATTTAGTTAAGTCATGATAATGGTGTATATAACATTGGTTCTAATAAGAAAAATTATGTCTTTTAACAAAACAAAATTATGTGCTGGCATTAGGTATGCATTAGTGTAAGATTTATTGTTGAAATCTGTTGTTTGGGCTAAATATGAAAATACATTTAATTGTATTAGATGAATAGCTGGGTAGAACCGGAATGTGTATGCAGAACAGTGTTCATATTCTGTAATTACGAAAACAAAGGACAAAGTTAAACCTGATGTTGCACTATAAAGACATGCCTGTATGTTGAAATAGTCGTCACACTGTTCACAAGGCAAACTTGATTCCTTTGATTCTCTTGTAATACAAAATAAAAAATAGCAAAAATACGTTTACAAGTTCTGCAGAAACTACAGAGAAAGGGAGAGCTGCACATTATGCTTTCTTGTATTTATTTTCAGAATTCTAAATACAGTAGTATCAAAAGAGGTCACATTGAGAACACAGTGTGTGCTGTTTGTAGTGGTGCAAACAACAAAAGGAATTCACTTTTTAATATGTAAGTGCAGATATAGCAAACCTTACTCTACTTCTAAAATGAGCTCATTTTGCAAAGAAGAAACCAACAGTTAATAATAGAAGGTTCTGATAATGTTTTTAAATTACCCTTCAGAAAATTAATTAAATAAATAAGATTCTGAATAGAATTACACTTTGACTAAATAAGATTTTGTATACATCAATGCATTCAGACCCATTTATAAAAATTCCAGTGCTAAAACATACAAAAGGATCATCTGATACAATTACTCGAGCAGATTTTCATTGTTGACAGTATTTAGCTTTAGAAAATGCATGTTTCAACCAGAATACAAGATTAAAAGAGATTATCTGTTGCTATTACTGAATTTCCTATCCTCTTTTACCAGTCTTTTAAATAAAGAAAAGACGGCTTTGCTGCGTGTCAAGAATCAAATGGCAGCAGATTTGGAGAAACTTCTAACTCATCGTGAGGTAATCTTTCTGTTCTTGTGTTACTACCATATACTACATTTTCTCTCTCTCCTGAGCTTTAAACCATGGGAAAAAATGGTTGAGTTTAGTTTGATTTTGAGTGGTTTTGTTGTTGTTTGTTTTTTTTCTGCGTAATCTTGAGAAACACAGATGATGTCAAGCATTGTGGAGATTATGAGTTGTATTCTCAGTTGCTAAATTATGTCTGTTGACTTAGTCCCACTGCCTTTTCTTATGAGTAAAACATATGTGTTAAAGTGTTTCGAATTTGCAATCATTTAACAACTATTTAGATAAAGGTGATGTAGTTGATACACATGCAATCTGCAATACCTGCGTGGGCCACAGTATGCCCAGGATGTCTCTCTGCTCTCCAGACATCAAGACCAAAAACCTGGGCAAAGCATGGCACAGTTCATTTCCAGTGCACACATCTGAGCTTCTCTTCAACTCTAAAGTACAATTCAGGGATAGGAAACGGGATGATAGTCACCTAGGCTTCTTCCAAAGTCAAAGTACTTCTGTATGTACTCACCTGAGTTTCATCCCAGCCAAGAAGTCAGGGTGCTTCTGGAATATACTCTCACATCTAAATGTATACGAAGTCTCACTGTTCAGACATAAATGTGTTATATGGGGATTCCCAAAGGCCTTTTGTAGAGATCTTGCCCTAAACAATCTTAAGAGACTAACCTGTTGAGGAGTATGGGAGAAGATCTTTCAGCAGATTAAATGTCTGAAACGAAGGATAGAAATGAATTACGTTTACCTATATGTTACATAAATATGGATTTTCCCCCACACTCCATGACAGGTGAGTTAACTATTTCCACAGTAATATGAAAGGTTTGCTAAAGCTACAGAATACTGAAGATACAATATCAAAAACTGAGTAAGAGGAGTTATTAAATGACCTTCCAGAGTTGCTGAATGTTTTGGCAAAGATCTGCAAAGAAAATATAACATTCATGAATCAAAATTATGAATGTGAGGAAGAGCAACACAAGCTATATACACAAGGTGATGGAACATAAATAACATGTTACATGTTCAGAATGATCATCTTGAAGTCCTTGTATCAATATTTCTCTAAAAATAGCCTTTCAATTATCACAGAAAAAAAGAAGATGGGGAGATGCCTTTCAAAGAATTTGCAACTCTCCTAGTGCAATCTTAGAAAAGATACCTTATCACTTATTCTAATACCATTATTTCCACAGAAACCTGACTATTCACACATCCTGAAGTCCTCCCACTCCACCTCCAAAACTCTTCTCCATCTCATTTCCTTGCTATTGCTCAAAATTCCCTCCTTAGATCGGTACACCAAAACTCATCTCATGAATTCATCCAAAATATTTTGTCTGTGCTAACCACTTTAAAAAAAAAACAAACAACTTTTTTGATAGAAAGAAATCAAAATGATTTCACTGACTGCAGAGTTTAAGTGAGCCCTAACGTAAGTGAAAATTGTACTGTCTTTCTCCTGAGTGCAGATCTCAGATGTGAAACAATCACCTTAAATTAAAACAGAAAGAACACAAGTTCTTAACTTGTTTACTTTCTAGGCTAAATCACACTGGGTGGTCATCTGATGCAATATCTTCCCAGAACAGTTCTTACATTTAACCCTCTGAACTGATTGTAGTGCTTGTGAAGTTCCATGAATGGTGATTATAATACTCTAGTTACAGAAGGGAGTAATTGAACATGCTTCCTCAGAGTAATTTGCAGGTGGGTGTCGTTAACCCAGTAGGATCATCAGTAGGTGTATCAGGAGTGATCATTTGATAGCTCTTATTTCTGATGTCTTTATCTACATTGTACATTTAAATTTCAAATTTAAGACCGAGTCTGTTACACACATGCAGTTTGGATTTTGTTTGGGTTTGCTTTTGTTTTTTTGCTATGAAACACACTGCTATCTATTAATATAATAGAAAATATTTTAAGCATTTTTAGATAATTTACAAGCCTGAAATTATGTTAATTATATGAAAAATAGTCTGAAGAAACTAGTGAATTAATTGCATAAAGGTATAGTGAACTTTCTGAATTTCCAATATAATAGGACCTTGGCAGATTGATTTCAAATTTAATTATTTCAAAACTTCCTACGCTCTCCTAAGTAGTGCTGCTCCCAGGTAGTCCTGCTCTCAAATACTCATGCCATTGGTGCCTTGTTCTCCAGAACAGGTACTGTATTGTATTTCACCTTCTTCAAATTCCCTTACTACTTGTTAGGACCATCAAACACTTGAGTCCTGAATCAGGTGCCAAGTATTGATCATCTTCATCAAGTGAAGAGTGCTGTAGGAAGGATACTTCATGGGAACATGCACCTTGTTACTCTAGGTATTGTGTATTATATATAGGTGGTCTCATATCAACCAACATGCATTGCAGATGATTAAAGTGAGTAGAATATGATTAATAAAACAAAAATGTATAAAATGTCTGCCTCAAAGCAATGCAACATTATTTACATCCAAATAATAGCCCCTATGACTACCCACTTAAGCTGTTCCTGATGTGCAGCAGTTTGCTTCTTTGTGTCATTTCACTACTTAAAATTTTCTGACTGTGGCCAACAATGCAAATTGAGTGAGACAATGCTGAGTGAGACAGGCTTTATACAAAATAAGAAACCAAATACTTAAGTCTGCAACAGACTTCATCATGAATGCTCCTTGTACCCTGGAAGTTAAGAACTTGAGCAAGTATTTCCAAAGTTATTTCATTTTTGCCAAATTTCTTTTTTATACATGTATCTGCTAAAAAATCGTCCCTATTAATTATATTATTTCACCTAACAGCAACAATATTCAAGTTACCCATGCAAAAAAAGAATATAAGTACTGAAAAAAAAGCATTAGAAATTGCATGTTTGGAGAAAGACAACTAAGAAATGCTAGTACAGGGCAGAGCGGGGGGGAGAGGGGTGGAGGAGGAGGAGAAGAAAAACAATAAAAATAAGCTAAAGTTCTTTTAAGAAAATGTTTGGAGAAGTAACTTTTTTTTTTTACAGGAGGTGAGGGGGTGATTATGTTTACCTTATGTCATTTCTGTTTATTCCTAATGCAGCCTTTTATTTTTCAATTTTAATGCAGGCCTCTTCCAGTGAGCTTGCTTTTTCTTGATTTATCTAAAAGGCAAATAAGTCATGCATTGAAATCTTCATGAAGGATAGGACATCTTAGTTTACAATGAGTTTGTCTTCAAATAATTTTCTTTGCCATTTTAATAAAAAGTTATATCAGATATGAAGCAACATCACAGTTTCACAGTAAATATCCCTGCTAATAGAAAAACAAAAGGCTATTCTTGGACTAATAAATACTAACTTCATTTAGACAGGGTGTTTTTAAATATAAGTAATATGCATTCTTCAGATTACATAAATTATTTGTAGAAATATGGATTACAAAATATGGATTACGGTTTTAAGTGCTACATGCTGTCATGTAATATCACTATCAGTCTTGTTTAATCACTGTGCATACTGAAGTATCATTTCTTGCTAAGAATTACCTTGGTGCCCATGTTTGCAAGTAAGGACAGTAGAATTCTTGAATAGATAAACCCAAGATATTCATACTTGATATAAACTAAGGTTTTAAGTGTGTTAAAAGTACAAGCAAAACAACAAAATAATGCTAATGCTGTCTTACGGTGACATGTTTCAATAAGTAGATAGTTTTGATTTAAGGTTTTCCAGCCTGTGTGGTCTCAGGTTGTAGTAACTCTTTTTAATGAAATGTTAGAAGGTGGGTGGCTGGTTTTGGTGGGGGTTAGTTGTTTTTGTTTTTCATTTTCATCTCCTTGTGATATCAGCTGGATTCATAACCCTTGATTTGGAGATACTGATAGCATTTTATAAGCTTTTTGGATAAAGAATTTACATTTATGCTTAATCTTAGTTCACTTTTCACTTAATTCTGGAAGAAAAAACTTTAATATTAAACTCTGAATCTTGACAGAATCCATACAGGGCTCTTATGTGAGTTTTTTTTATTACAGGAAAAAAATGACACTACATATTATTTCACGTAATAAAATAGCTCATTATTTCAAATTATGTAGACTAAGCTAATTTGATTATTACTATATTTTGCTGTGGAAATTAAAATGAAAAGTGGTCATTTGACTATGTGCATTCTTAAAAAGTTAGGTCACCTATGTGGGAGAAAACCAAGATTTTTTATTTTATTAATTTTTAATTATTTCTTGGCCTTCTATTTCCTTTTTTTGTTGTTGATTAATTTCATAAATGAATGGGGAAGACATTTTAATACAGTTTCTCGTGTAAATCATTGAGAATCTGCTGGTACAGTAAACATTTCTATGGATTTCTTCATGCATGGATAAATGCAGATTTTATTACTTGAGAACAGGTTCAGTGGCATCACTGAGAACAATCTGTAACCAGAATCATGCTGGATGATTGTGATGTTTTTAGAGGTTCACGACTATGGCCTTCACAGTACTGCTGTCCTTTCTGAGCTATCAGAAGGAATTGGGGTGTGCGGTACTGAGATGCCATTTGTAAGCCCCTCAGTGCATGATATTGAGTACAGTTAGTACAGCCAAATTTTTCAGCTGATTTCTGACTAAGAAACTTTATGTTTTGTCAAGATAACCAATAGGGTTTGTAATTGTTTTTCCAGATCCAACAGAAGAGCATAAAACATTGTTTGAAAGAACAATGGAGTCTCCCATTAATAACCTCCAGTGCTCTTTTTTTTTTTTTTTTTTTTAGGATATTTCATATCCAGACTTTTTTTGTATTATTAGTTGTAGTCTGTGCTATCTTTTTAATCAGCTGAACTTTCGACCCTCTATCTTTATCTGTGGTAACCAAACCACACACATAAGAAACTTGTGCTCTTGATTCATCCCACTCTATGTTTCGTCTTATACCCAAAAATGCAGCCCCTCATTAAATTTGTATAGTCAGAGGGGCACGAAAAGGAAAGATGTTCCTTCAGAGAATAAATCAG